TTTTATCACATATAAAACCACGACACGCTTATGATTTTTCTTTGTGTTTTCCTCCTGAATTATTAATGAGTTTTTTAAATATATATATATATATATATGCACTTTAAAGCTACAGTACACTCATTGTAACTTATGACTTAATTAATTTTGACTCTATTTGATAATATAAGAGTTTGTAATATACTCTGTTTTGAAAATAATATACTCTGTTTTGAAATTCTAGCCTGAACAGGTTCTCATTTAAAGGGGGTCTAAATAAAATATTTTAGCCTAACAGGTTCTTAAATTCTAGGTTCTTATATGGGGGTTTTAACTGTAGTCGACTGATAAAACCGAACATAAATTAAACTCCGTCTATATTAAAATATCCTTCTGGGATACACGAGTTTAAAAGTTTATTAATAATTCATGAGGAAAAGACAAAGGAAAACATGTGGTGATTTACATAAATTTTAGCTTTGATTATCTCGGCTTAGACAACGTGGATTTTTAAAATTACTTCGCCAATGAACTCATAAAATGGGTCGTTTAATTAAAACACTTGTAGTCTCGTGCTTTATCAGATATAAGACACTTGGCTGTCGCCTTGTGTACTGTACACATGAGCTTGCGTCATCGGTATTTATCTCCCGGAACAATTACCCTACCAGATTATTGCGAACACACTTTATTATGAGCCATTCCATTTAATATCGAAATTTTCCTAGGGGAAATTTTCCTATAGAAAATTCCATGTTTCCGAAGGTCCCCAAATTTTTCATTTCTGAAGGGGTCTTGAAAATTCCAATTTCTGAGAGCGTTGTTGTTGAACTGAAAATTTCTGAAGGGGTCAGGAATAATCTGATGATTTCCAAAGGGGTCTCTAACAATTCATGGCAATTTCCAAGGGGTCATGGAAAGATCGGGGTTTCTTGCCATGGAACCTCGTCCGAAGGGGGCTGAGACAAATTGGAATTTTGGAGTGTGTTTGGTAAATTTAAAGAATTTCTGAAGGGCATTGGCAAAAAAGTTTCTGAAGGGGTCTAAAAAATTAAATGGAATCGGGCCCTTATTGAGCAGCCATACTGAAAGACACGGTCACGGACTGATCATACTGTGAACTCGTGTAGTAACTCGTGTTCTTGGATCCCATTGCGTTCTGGATACAACGAGTAGTTTCCAGAGTACTTTGAACGATAACTCTGTTGCTGGCCGGTCTTTCTATGCCAGAGTTTTTGGTAGACCTATTCTCCATCATTGCGGAACTTTGTTGCTGAACTTTCATTAAATAATAATAATAGACTTTATTTAAAGAAGGTATTACAAAACCAGTTTGGCATAGCTAATCTAATTACACTTGGCCTTCTATAACTACGACTATTAACAAACAAACAAATGCATTAAATTACATGAAAAAAATATACAATAGATTACAAATGACTACATTTAAATTGTTTCTAAAAAGTATTTATATGTTCTTATCTCAAGTGGTAAACTATTGTATAGTGTTGCATCACTGTTACCCACTGTATGGTAGGGCCACCCATTTAACATGTGCACCCCCCCCCCCCCCTTGTTGAAG